CAACTGCACCCTTTGTGTGGCAACTCATTTGTAAACATGAAGAATCTGCCACCCTCAGTAAAAGCACGGCTGCTGTTTTATTAAAGGGTAGTGGAAATAGTTTGGGCTTAGGAATTGAGATTAGGCTGTACAGCAGCTAGATGTGTCAGAAACTGATTTTTTCCCCCGCTGGGTGATAGAAACAAGTGTGACTCACGAAACAAGTATTGAGCTAGAAATAAATCATTTATTTTAAAACAATACAGGTTAATAAATAGATTAGTTATCAGAAAACTTCATAAATAGCCTTTTTTAATTTACACAAGGCAAATACAACATGCCTATAACTATTTCTTAAAAAGCAAAGAATAAGCTTGACTTGTAAGCCATTAACAAATCTATATATACATCATTTGGAAGCTAATAAAATAAACCATTTTTATGTAATCTGTAGTAACTATATTGCAATAGCATTGAAGCAACCAAACCTGACACTGTATGTTTGTTGCCATCCACCTTTTCCCCATATCCCATTAGAACGATTTTTTACATTCCAGTGGAAAAAAAAAAGTAAGAAAAAAAAAAAAGAGAATGTTCCACAGTTGAAAAAGGATTTAACTTTAAAAAAATCCCTTTTGTGTAATATTTTCCACTCTGTAGAGCAACTGTCGGGGGATGGGGGGCACAATAAAAAAAAAACACAATTATTTGCAGCTTTTAAAAAAGATTTCTTAATCCATAACATTTCAACACTGCTGTCTGAAACACTTGGGCACTAGCAATAATAGCAATGGACATCATTGGTGCCTAACATAGTACACACTAAAATTCTGCATCACTTAAGCCCATATTCAGTAGCACCAAAGAATTATTACAAAGACTAATCTCTGTAAAGAAAAGATAACAGATAATAGATAAACATTTGATAACATTTAACAGCAAAATGTCAGCAGTTACACCGTCTCAAGACAACTGAGGAAGATCTGTAGAATCCTTGATGTTTTATATTCATGAAGCAAGAAGGTGAGAGGAGTATAACGTGCAAACAACAGCCCATTTTAAGCACCCCATATTAAATAACCTCAAATCTTTCTTCAAATACAAACCCTCTATTTTTTAAATAAAAAGGAAAGCTAAACCTCAAGATTCTAGTATTTCAACAAATAAAATCCAGTGTTTTCATTTTTCAGCGCTAGTTACTTCAGAAAAATACATATGTTCAATACAAACCGAGATTATTAATAGGAAGCTTCACTTGTCAAACTGTGATACGACAGGTTCTTATTAATGTTAGTTGCAGCTCACTAATAAATAAACTCTATTTACACATACAGAGTCCTGGAAAGTCAATACAGCAGATAACTTGTTTAAATACTTTTCTTTTTTACATAAGCGTTTAAGGTGTAACAAACTTTTTTTTGGTTTTATCAAAAGGGTTTCTATTCTACTGAACATTTGAGGGATTTTTGTGTTTGACACCTAATAAAGATCGTGACTGACACATGTAAATCCTCCATACACTGAAGGGATAATGATCATAGAGCTATCTTCAAGTGAGTACCAAGTAAATACGTTTGACAAGTACAATAGAAGCCAGAGAGAGTGAAACGCCTTTCATATGGATTTGAATTTTATTCAAATACATCCCAACACTGTAATGAGTCCACTTTTTGTATGCATAGCCTCTCCCACTTCTACTTTGGAATCAGAACTGAAGCCAGCTGGCTCATAGCTATCGACAGACGTAATGCAAAGAGAACGTGAAAAGGGCAGACCCGTGAGGGACACCAAAGCTCAGGAGACAACTATGCACATTTGCTCCCTGAGATGATGGAACTCAGATATCTGTCTTATTCCAAGTGCTTACTTGTCGAAGGGGTGAAAAACAAAAAGAGGGAATGACTAAAATTCAACTTCAACAGTGACTCCTTTTAAATCCAAAAAGCAACGTGACTAAAAAAGGTAGGACACCTAGAATGAGGAGGGCTCGTTGGGATGGAGGGGGAAGAATCATATCAACAGTGACAACAGAAAATGCTAATGCATTTCTAAAGTTAGAACTGAACCAGATCCAGGTACAGCAGAACTCAAAAGAACACTGCTATATACCGAACAAAGTAGCAGAAACAAAGGTTTCCATTATTTAGCATTCATAGTGTAAAAGGCTGCAGATATAAATGATGTGCAAGGCCACGAGAATTTCTTTCACCTTATGTGCTGGCTTTTGACATCTCTGTTTTAGACAGCAAGGTTAACTAGACATCTCTAGAGAGCTCATCACAGATGAGGAGTAGCTGGGGAGAAGAGAAGAAACCTATGCAGACATTGACCAGCTGTAAGGATGGTCGGAGGACCACAGAACACGGCTGCTACTTTATTCTTACTCTGCATAGTGAGTCCTTATCAAGTAAATTTGTGTGTGTGGTACAGAAAATAGGAAGGTTTAGACAGGGCAGTCAAGTTATTTTGGATCTACTATTTACTAATAATTTGCGTACACACCTAACATGCTAGGATAGGCACTTTCTAAATAAACAGGAATGAATTTTAAAACAAAACAAAACAAATAAATACAGCCAAAGGAGGACTAAGGTGAGACCACAGTCATTTCCATTCTAACCTAAAGACTTTCACTGATGTCTTCAGAGATTAAAGGGTAGTACAAAACCAACATGCAACTCATGAACTCTGAACCCAAATTTTGAAAAGACAACTTGACCGCTTCAGAAAACAACTAACATTGTTTTTAAAAGTAGGTCACTACAGGTGTCATAACCTATGTACAATTCAGGTTTTGATCAGAAAACATAGCTGTCTGCTGACAACCAAGACCCTATCTTCCAATCAATAACGGACAGACATTAGTTTTAACCAGCTTGCATAGTCCAATTCCCCTCGTCTACAATTTTCAAACTTTCTAGAAACCATACACAATATTTGAAAATCCATGAAGATGGCCTTTTCTCTGCTAGCACTATTTTATTTCATCAAGATACCCAGTTTCCATGCTGGCTTATAACAACATGCATTTTTGCCAACTCAAGTCTCACCACCCCCCCAGTCTGGAGTTATAAAACAATCTTCCAAATAACATAGTGGGGCTCTTACTCCCTCAGAATAGTCCCTTCAGAATACTAAATCTTTAGGATTCACTGTTAACAATTATTGCTGCCATCAGAAGAGCTTATAACATTCCTTTTAAATGAAAATGGAGCTGATTTTTAAGGTAATATTAATTCAGGTCAACAAAAAATGTCACAAAAGTGGACAGTATTACTCCCCATTAATCAATGTCCACATTCCTGTCAGCCAGCCACAAATCAAGATTTCTTGATAAAGTGTCATGAGCTTTTTCAAATGCTGTCTCGTAATGATGCTGGCATTTTTTTGTTTGTTTCAAGACACATTCTGAACTAGAGGTGTTGAGTTGCACGGTACCCTTCCATTTTGTACTTAAATGGAAACCAACATTCATTACTTCTCAGGCTTTCCTTACATGTCTTTTGACTCATGATGTTTTAACTATAAAATATAAGTACAACATGAAAACTAACTATTCCTTTCTTTGACATATCAATATTCTCTAAATGGTTTAAACTGAACAGTTCAGACTCATTCCAATCATAGCTTAAGCTATTTGTACTACTTGTCAAAGTATTATTGCTGAACTGTTCACACAGATCTGTAAATTACTGAATCGGAACGTATATCCCTGTTGGTTAACTGAAACTCTGAATAGCTATGCTTTTTCAGTCTTTAACTTCCTTTCCCCATGTTACAAGAGGATCAGACCATCTTTTTTTGAGCTACGAGAAATGTCATGCTCTTCTCTCTCAAATTTCTTTTTTTTGTGGTCCCTGCTTATTAGCTACTTCACAAAATGGTTTCCTAATAAAGGAATGAAGTCACTCAACTAAAATAAAGGTATGCTGGACTGCTTTAAACACTCCTCCCATAGATTACCTCTTCCCATTAGGACTGTGTTTTTTTCAGAAGCTGTGAAGGCATCTAAGAGTTTCAGTTCAGGTTTGCAAATTCTTCCAAAAATGTGTGGCTCCTTCTGGATGTTTACGTGTTTAGAATTTTAATAAAGTCGAATATTGTAGACAGTGAAATTGAATTATTAAACTGATACAGGCTATCTGAAACAAATACATTCACATTTATGCAGTATTTTTGGATTACAAAGGCACTGAAATAGTTCTGAGCTGCTTACAAATAAGCCACCATATAGGCAATGAGTTTGTGCATCATTTCCACATCCTTCACAGTCTTTCCGTCTGCTCCCAATTAAAAACTCTCAGATGAATGCGGTATGTCTTAATGCACATAAGTTACAAAGAAAAATGCATACCTGGACACTACCATCAGCTGATAAGTAATTAGTGAAAGAGTTTTAAAGGTCCACTGCTCTGTATAAAGAATTCAATTTAAAACTCCCCAGTGTCTTCACCGCATGGCAGACCAAGTTGCCAAGACAGTCACTAAAAAAGACAAATCTGCAGTCCATGGTTCAGCCAACATTCATCTCAGAATTCACAGCCTTGACGGTGAGCACATTGCTATATTGAGATTAACAAATTGTTCCACCCACTTCCCACCCTCCCCATATTTTAAGGTGTACATCACTCATGAAAGGTGTCAGATTGAGTGCGTTAGAAACTGATGTTCACTGCCCATAGAAATGGTACCTCACTCAGAAGCCACAACACAAGCTTTCACACACCGGTCTGTCAGAATATCCCCAGATCTTTTCTGATGGATTACCTTTCACAGTAAGAAAATACATCGGTCTCTATGCTGACTCAATCAGTAGTTGCAATTAAGATCATTTATTGTGTTGACTGGGGTACATGGACAACTGTTCCTTCGAAACTGGATGGAGGCCTCCAACTTATTCACATAGGCCACCACATCATTAGAAGGTAACTACCAACCTGAATCATGTTTGAATCAGTGACCTAGAAATGAAAGGCTCTGCATCCTTCCCTGAGCCATCCAGTTTCCCCTCAAAAAATACTTTAATCTGTCTTCATGTTAGGTTTATTTAAATCCCCGATATTGAAGTTGAATTCCTTGAAGACTTGTATAAGAACAATTCCAATAGATACCGTGGTAAATCCACAAGCCATTCCCAAGAAATCTACCACTCCTACATTACTCCATTCCCTGAAAAGGATGGCTGAAGCCAGCAGGACTAGGGTGGTAAACACAACGTAGTAGATGGCACCAAACACAGAGGAGTCAAAACATTCCAGTGCCTTATTGATGTATCTGAACTGAATGATAATGCTACATCCTAATACTGCCAGAAGTACCAGACAGAGGTACAGAGCCCTTTGACTCGAGGGATTATTGTGAAAGATATCTTGAGCCGCCAGCCCAATGCCTTTTGTGCTGGGAACAGTGAAACTGCCCAACAGAGAGCAAATACTGATGTAAACCATAATATTAGTAGGTCCATGAGCTGGAGCTATCCAGAAGATAAGCAGGAGAAGCATTAGCAGCACTATGCAGAGATAACCCACGAAAACTGGAAAACAAAAAGAAAACAAGATTATAGCGAGGTGAGAACTCTTGGTCTTCTAAAGATTTTAGCAGGCAAATCATGTCATACCAGCGAACTTCAGGTATACACCAGGATTAAGATTTGCTGTCGAATACAGACCCAAATCACTGAGCTTTTAGAAATGTTGTGGGCATCTGCAACTGATGATGCTGTCATGTTCTTTGGGTAAAACAAATGATCATGTAGTAAAATACACACTGTTGCCCATTTGCCAGTCTATGAACTGCATTTAAGATGTCTTTTTTTTTTTTTTTTTTTCATTCTCTCTTATACTCCTTAGAGCCCCCTATGACAGACAGCAGTGATAACACCTCATTCACAACCAGTTAAAAAAGCATGGTGCGTGGATCCAGCAAAAAGTTAGATCCCATTACGGTGAGCAGGGAGAGTTGGAGGAAGTGGGAGGCCTTATCATTTACATTATAGCATCAGCGCACGCAGATTAGACTAAAATTGTAAAGCATGAAATGTTTTTCGCCAAAGAAATATATTTCCAATTCATTTTGGTCAGATTGAAATGGTAAATTTAGATGAGGGTATTTGTTTTCTTTTCTTTGTTTGCAAATTTTTTGGATAGCTGATGTTATTAGGTTTGAGTTTCTCTCACCTAAAGCAATTAAAGGAAATAACAATAGTTGGCAGTTTAGCTCTTATGCAAGAAAAATAAAAGTGGGTCTGGCACATATTAGCACTAGTATGTGTCCTCCAGGAGGACAAAAACTAGCGGGGTTTTACATTCTCTGTGAGAAAAAACAGGCATTTCAGCATATGTCTCAACAGCGTATTTCTACACACCTTTCTTGTACAAAGAAATCTGCTTTGAAGATAAATGGTATCTAGTATAAACTTTTAATAAAAAAGCAAATGCAGAAATGCAGAATTACAGAAAAAAAGACAATCAATATTTTTTGTTTTGTATAAAACAACTTAAATTGACATCCTAGAATTATACCTTTCATCTCTAAGTAGCAAGATACACTTTATCATAATTTTAGAAAATTATAAGTTCAGATGGACATTGTTCTGAGCTTGCTGTGCAGGATAATGTTTTCAAAAGTATCCACATTTTCCTTTCTGTACACATGCATCAATAAATCTGAGGAGTTCCAAGTACAGCAAGGCATAGTTTTCCTGCACAAAAGCTGTACTGGTTTGCCTCTGTCACACCATGGTTTCTTCAGAAGTCAATTTTCCTACCTGGTGGAAGTGGTAAGCCTCTTCCTCCTGCGTGCTCTTGATCAATCTCACAAAATCATTATGAGTTAATAAAAGAAGTACCTGGATTTGTAAGCTTCTCTTCAAGCTCAGCCTGAGTCGTTACACTCTCGGACTTTGGGGAATGGATGATGAGAACGACAGACCCAGCGCAGCTCAGCAAACATCCCAGCTTGCCAAGAATGTTCAGTTTTTCTTTCAGCAAGTAAGAAGCTAAAATGGACCTTTCACAAAGAGGAGGAAAATTAAAAGTTTGAATACATCCTGTTAATGATGCTCTAACAGTGACATGCTACATGAATTTCCATCTTAAAGGAATAGTATCAAATGTTGGTGGATTCTCAAAACGCATTTCTGATTTATCTCAGGAAATACTCATTCAGTCTCAGCCTTACTCAATCCTTGGTATCTCATCTTAGGAAAAAACAACAACAAACACTTACCCCAAAAGGCAGCACTATATCACCGCCTCCTAAAAAAACCAAAACGCAGACCCCCAAACCAGGCACCTGGCACCCCTGAGGCAGATATCTACCTGTTAACAATTTGGTGAGCTGTCACTAAGCCCCATTTTATAGGTGCTACGCAGTCGTGAGATAAAAGTGACCTTTGGTTACGAAGATCACAGGACTCAGCTCAGACATATAGCTGACCAAAATACGCAATACTGTATGGCCTAGGATAAAATAATATGTGGTAAGCAAAGCACCAGGAGTGTGCCTCAGAGAGTATAAAACTAAGGACAGCCACGAAGCCCGCACAAAGCAATCTACACTCTGAAGTAGATGACCAGTGCAGCCAGACACACAATTCAGCAGCTAACGGTAGGCAACAGAAAAATCTCGAGGCAATGTACAGCTTTGTTTTTAAATAATTGTACTTTTTCACTGCAGTAGTTTCACAACTGTAGTCTAGCTATTCACAGAACATTTAGTTGCATATTAAACTCCTTTTAGGAGCACTCACTGCCGCCTTTGTTCCTGCCCCTCACATGAACATAACATTCAAGAAGGTGGGGGCATGCATATGCAAGTGACTCCCTCGCTTCAGGAAACGGGGCCAAATCCAATTAAATGAAAATCATCACCAGTAAACACATGTGGGCTGCGGATAGCAGGGGGGAGAAAGAATGTGAGACAAAAAGAAAGAAAGATCTACATAGTAAGGGAACTGTGAACAACAGAATAGAGAGAAGAGTCCAGAATAACCACAGTGAAGGCAAAAAAAGAATAAAAATGTTTATCTCTTCCAGATCATAGTGACAGTTAAAGCAGAAGATACACAGGAACCCGTTCTTTACCATTGCCTTCCCCCACCCCGCCACTTTGCTAGGAAAAACAGAAATTCGTGACATTATAACACATCATTAACAGTCACAAGTCTCACGTCTTCTCAGTGGACCTCCAGTGATGACTGAGTCTATCTGACATTTTATTAAGTAGTAACAATTCTCAGATAAGAACAAGAAAAGCAAACTCTTACCCAAATGGAACGCCAAGAGCTCCCAAGGGTGTCACCAGCACAGTTGGGACTGCAGTGTAGGCCAAAAAATTCCCTATTTGACCCAGAGCCACTGTCAAGAGAAGCAGAAATAAGCCTTTAAAGCCCTTTGTAAAAAGAAGGAATTAAAACTTACCCAATACTGTTTGGGAAAGACTGACCTAACTGGAAAACAGATGTTACAGATTTGCTTAGCTCTGTTAATTTTGCACTTAAGCAAAATGGCTGGAATTTTTCTATATTGTTAAATTATTTTTTAATATAGGATTTACGTTTGCCACACAAGAAGATCCAAGAAGGCACAGTAAATAATCTCACTTACAACTTCTCTTAGTTGAATATAAATTCTAATTCAATAAGTTGAGTTAGAAACACTCACGGATTACACTCAAATATCTCAATATTACACTCAAATATTTATATGTGGAGGGCTAAAAGTATATAAACCCCATGACTTCAGCTTTAGAATGTGCATACATATAACACGAATGCACTTGGTTATAGTTCCTAACAGCAGTGTTACTTTTGGGGAGGGAAAATAAGGACAGTACTGAAGAAGGGAATCTAATAATGAAATATTAAGCACACACATAAAGGCTCTTCAATATACAGTAGATCACATCAAATTTCACAACATGGTATAACATCAAAAGTAATTCCTGACCACTGTAAAAAGAACAGATCCCTGACAAGTCACAATAACAGCCTCACAATCTTTTTTCTTTCCCCCAATAAAAAAAAATTCCAAGACGTACCACACTATTGCACATCACAGCTGTGATAAACAGTTCATGTGTTCCAAGTTTTCAGTTGAAAAAGAAAAGCTGGATGGTTTTGCAAGTGCTGGCAAGTTTATAATAGGTCAACATGATGCTTGCATAGCTACAGGGTCTGTGGTAACTGGCAAGAACCTTGAGATTGAACACAAATTACAAACAGCTCAAATTTCTAGCTGATTTTAAGAGCCATTATCAGCATATAAAAACATTTCAAGATGCCAAGCGGTCTTTATGCTCAGGCTGGCATTGCCCTCCACTATCAAATATCATTACCATCATCCCATTCTTTACACATGCAAAGCACTGTGCAAACATTTACCAAATTAGTTCACATTATCAGTAAAGCTGAAGACCTGTGTAACCTACAGGAAACACGAAGGAGACAAACAAACTTAAAAAACTGCAGAGTGTGGCAAAATTATACTAATTCAATTCACTGAGGCTTTCTCTACGTGCAGGAATGAGCCAGAGAACTTAACGAGCAGCATTTCTAGAGCACAAGAATCAGTGATGGTCTCCCTGCCCCTGGGAACAGCGTAACTCAGCTATGAGCCTCAGCCTTGTTTTTCAGCAGACATATGTGGCAACTTTTGCATTATCTCCAAGGCATCCGAAGGCACTGGGGCAGATCTTGCCTGGAGGACAGAACACAGCTAGCACGCTCTGTTTCTGCAGATTACATAAACTTCCAAGTGACTCTGACAAAAGTTTGCTTTTTTTTGGAGGTCAGGTGCCTTAACTTTCTGTTGGAAGAACCCTAACAGATGGCACCAACACCGATCCATAAATTAGGTCCCTGAAGCTTCAGTCAAACTGCACATATTGGGCAACCGAACTTAGTTTTCAGTATCACCATGGAGTAATAACAACAGTCTCTTACCACCACGAATGACAGATTGGGACTAATTAAAGACCAATTAAAAAAGAATCTCAGTCATTGTCACCATCTACCTGATGCTGAAGACCTTTGCTGCCAACCTATCCAGTCCCCTCTGGATAGAAATTCCTCTCCAGATATATCAATGCTCTAAGTCAAGACGTGGCTTCAGTTTTTGAAGGCACACCAAGCTTTAAACTTGCTAAAGGAGTACCAATGTCCCCAAAATTATTGCAACACAAAACTTGATGACATGTCTCCATTAGCAAGGAGACCAGGAGTAGATGTGTACAGAAAAAGATGCCTGCTCTATGCGTGTCAGGGATTTTATTTCAGACTAACTTCAGCCTGATCCCACGGACTGAAAGTATGTTTGCAGCTAGTGTGTGTTAGGCATGTTCCTAGAGTGCATCTTGCAGGCTAGTTTCATCTTAAAGTCCAGTTCAGGAGCTCCAGCACTGATCCATAATGTGAAAGCAAGCCCAATCGGTGGAGACAAACAGGAGATTCACTTCACAAGTCCATTCCCCATCTGCAATAAAACACTAACACAGATGTATCCACTATAAAAACCAGCCACATCTATGCAGCTATCAAAACCTGTACTGAAACTAATTAATTAGCCAATTAATTAGTTTAATGCTCATTGAAATACCTGTACACATGCTGCAATCACTTTCGACTTTAAAAAAAAAATCCCTTAGCAGAATCTGTAGCCCTTCCTTTGAAGTCTTCAGTAATCCAGTGGATCCCAAGGCCCCCAAATGGTTAGGCAGTGTTATGCTGAGTCAGCATGCCAACACAGAAATGCTTTTTCACCATCTGAACAAATATTGTGAAAACAAGTTGATAGAGTTTATGTGGGTTTTGTTAGTCATCCAAACTCCAAGTTCCCTGCTTGAGAAAGTGATGTCAGCTGTTATAATTTTGCCCAGATAACTGGGGATGTTGCTAATTCCCCAAACATCACCTTCCTTTGCATCCCACAGGTGCCTACCTGGCCCTTGCTATTGCTGTTTGTGACTCTGTTGTAATTCTGAATCTCTAATATCCTTAAGCAATTATTCCCTTGGTTCCCTTCTAAACTTACTAAGGCTTTGTTTTGAAATACCTGCACCTAACTGCTGGACTAAAGCCAACTGATACCATTCCCTTCAGCTATTTTGCCTTCATTCAACCCAGTCAGCTCTTTTAAGCATGAAATCGTTTTCTCTGATTCACCAAGATAAAATAAGAGAGGTTTTATTACAGGAGATTAACTCCTTCTGCTTGGACATTCAAGACGGGAGCCTCATGAGCGATAAACAACAGTATTTAATGTACAGATTTATTGCTACTTAGGCAGTAGTGATCCTGGCAGAGGAAGAAGCTGGCAAAGAACTACTTAAATTCAGGTTAAATTAGCTGAGGACCTTCCTCTGAAGCTCTGTTGGCTTCACTCCTTGCTGTGAACTTTGTCCTTCAAGAGATCTCTCAGCTTCCATTCCTTCTGCATAGCTTGAAGACAACAAAAACAGAGACCTACCTTGTTGCCATGAAACAAGGGGCACAACTGGACTTATATACTTCTCAGAAACAGCATGAGAACATTTCCAAATAGTTCACAAAAGGCTCGGTTAGAGTCTAAAAGTGGGGTTTGATTTTAAGCTCATGGGTAGAACTAGGGCTGAACTGCAAGAGGAGAAAGCTGGCTGCTCCCCATGCTCTGGATTCACATCAGAGAGTGAACTTAGCATGAGCAGAATTTATAAAGATACTAAGAGTAAAATTACACTGATCTCCTATCAGCAACACACAAAGCTTCACATCAAAACTGAAACTGTATCTGTCAAACTAGAAATCAAAAAAGGATTATTTTCTTTTTAATTGAGCCTGGCTAAGTGCTTTCTGATCAAAAAAATAACACATGCTCAATGGGCCCTTTTGTGCAGAGCGACAATTTCTTATTCAGCTTTGACTTTTATTAGAAACTGTGCGGACCAGTGCAATCCAGAGACACAAAACAGGCAGGAATCCAGAGTCAAAGCAGTGCGTAGCTGACAACGGCTGGAAGTACCAAATGGTTCAGAAATCTGGAAACATGTCTGACTTGGGATTGTCCCAGCTCTTTGCCTTCTCAAACACCGTCAGACACAGTAGCCAGAGTTTACTGGCCAGAGAGTTTAAAAGAGAGAGAAAAACTGAGAGTTTACTAAGGGTGGGATATTTCTGAGGGGTGGGAATTTTGTGACAAGTGAGCGTGAGATTCAAGATGAGAACCCGGACTTCCTGATGTCTCATTTCACCATCTAACCACAACTTCTCCCTCCAAAAATACCCAAACCTTTTAAGATACTTACTTGCAATAGTGCCAGACCACCATACTATATCTGTTAAGTACGAAGTACCTGGAAGAGGAAGTATAGGAAGATGTGTTAGAAAAATATGAAATTGCAATATTGGAACTATGAAAGAGAGTATTTTCAACAGTCTCAGCTATTAAGGATCTTCATCTTAACCCTGTTCTTCAAGGCAATTGAGTGAGAAGAAAAAAAAAAAAGAGGGTGCTCAGATTTGGCCCAAGTGTCCAAGTCAGACCTTCCTAAGGCAACGTATTAGTCAGAAGTTCTGATTTCCAGTTTGAAGTACCGATGTGAC